TGCTGATAATTATAAAAATATTGCACACATATTTACTAAACTTACTTCCTTAACCAGAAGATAAAAACAACATAATTCAATAATTTTTAAAGCAAAAAATGTACAATTTACCAACATATAAGAGTAAAGAAACTAAGATCACTGAGCCGGGTAACAGAGTGGATATATATATAAATATATTTATACGTTTGGTGCAGCCGATTGCAACCAAAATACGAGGTGCACATCTACATGTTATAGCAGTAATATATACAAAATTTCAACGTTCTGAGGCTACTCGTTTTTGAGTTATGCGAGATACGTACGTACATACTTTGGACAGACGCCACGAAAAATTCTCTTCAGAATTAATTTTAAAGCAGTTTTATAATTTTTTGAAGGAAAAGAGTATTTTCTTCTGTCCTAACGTACATATATCACGCAAAAACATCGTTAAATTGCATTTGATAGCGGTCAAAATGGATATTTTCGTTGAAATATGCTGCCTGAAACTTTTCGCGATTACAGTACTTCCTTTGTACTCCGTACAAGGAAGTAAAAAGGAAGCCAATTAGAAAAAATGTAGCAGATGGAAGTTGCAGCAGTAAGAGCACAATTTATATATAAGATGTGATACAATGGACAGTATGGAAAAGACATTAGTGATATGGATAGAAGACCAAAATCAAAAACGGATTCCAATTGATACTAATGCTATTACAAATAAAGCCTCAAAGATTTATAAAGCGCTTAAGAATTAGTCACCTTCGATTTCGTCAGATGAGAAAAAGGTATCTTTTTCCGCAAGTCATGGTTGGTTTGAGATTAAAACAAAGACATTCTTTACATAATCTAAGATTGAAAGGAGAAAGTGCATCTGATGATTTAGATGCAGCAGAACAATATCCAGCAAAATCTGCTGAAATCTCTGCCGCCAACTCCTACACTATCAGATCTTCAATGCTGACGAGTCCGGGTGGTTCTGAAAAAAATGCCTGAAAGGACCTATTTAGCTAAAGCTTGCCAAACAGCTAGTGGTCATAAGGTAGCGAAAAGTCGTATAACAATTATTTTCTGTTGCTTCAGGCGATTATATAATGAAACCATTGGCTGTTAACAAATCAAAAACACTACGCTCGTTTAAAGGAGTAAACATAAGTAACCTTCCCGTTTATTGGATGGTTAATAAGCATGGGTCACTGCTATAACTTTCAATGAATAGTTTCGTAACATGTTTGTTACAGATGTAAAAAATTATTTAAGTAAAAAGAGGTTGCCTTTTAAGGCTTTTCTATTAAATGATAATGCACCTGATCAACCTCAAGATTTACAACACGAAAATGTAGAAGTTATCTTTTTACCAAAGAATACAAAAGACCTTATTACAACTTTAGATCAAGGAATAAGTTCGACTTTTAAGGCACTGTATATCAAACAAACCTTCAGGTACATTTCAGAACAAATTAAAAACGATGAATCTCTTACTCTTATCGATGCTTGGAAGACATTTATAATTTTATACTGTATTAAGCATATTGGCCTGTCATATACTCAGATAAAACAATCAACGCTCAACGCATGCTGGAAAGCAATATGGCCGGTAGCTATTAAAGCATTAGAGCATGCATATTCTCAGATCACTAAATTGGCCCAAACTATAGGAGGATAAGGTTTTTGAGGATTTAGCTCAGGCAGATATTGAAGAAATAATGGCTGATGAAGAACTAAATGAGGATGAGTTAGTTAACATGATTCATGAAACAAATAAACATGATGAAGACAATGATTCTGATTCAGAGCAATCTGAACCAGTTGCGTTCACAGCAGGAGTCATCATCGTAGGACCTGAATTGGAAATAAAATTAGGTAATCCGTTTTTACAATATGACACGAATGTTGAACGAGCACTTCGATTCCAACGGGGGCTTAGTAAGTGCTTAAATCAATATGTGGAGATTTATAAAGATTTAAGAAAAAAAATCTAGGCAATTGTTAATTATGGATTTCATTGCAAAGTCTTGTCGATTTGAGGTCTTCCCTGATTCGTCAACCATTGAAGCAGATTCTTATCAAGCACGCTCAAGTGATGAAAGTGACATCATCAAAATACCAATCAAGAAGAAAAGACTAATAGTTAATGAAAGTGATGATAGTGATTAAACTTAAAATAATTTTTGAATGATCTTATGTTTTTCTAATGTGAAATAAATTAAATATGTACTTCTATTACCTACATACATTTGTTATTTTATGAACGAAGTATAACTTTATTTATTTTAAGCTGTCTTAATTTTGTTTTATGTAAATAAATAACTAAATTACGCACATTTAATGAGTTTTTCGTTTTACACGCTTTTACAAAGCAAAATCCAAGATTTCGAGTTACACGGTTTTGTGCTGAACCTAGCTTCCGTGTGAATGGATGGATAGGTTTATTTTTATTTGCATATTAAAACAATTTTCCTCAAAATAAAATCTTATTTTAAGAACTGTAAGAGAAGTTTTAAATGAAGCTTCTCTGGTTATAAGGTTACTCAGTTAAGTAGTTAGTTTTTTCTCGCATTTTCGCTTCTACTTCCGTCAGTTCCGATCAGAATGCAGTTTAGTTAAATTATACATGCTCAGAATTCTTGTGTTTAGAGAGAGAGAAACACAGTTTTTGGAAGCATTTGCAGACTGTGAATTTTTGGCAATTACATGCTTTTTAAATGGAACGCACTGACTTTAGTTTCGGCAAAGACGCTTTGTTTCTCGAATATTTAAAACCAAGGCGCCAGAGCTTTAGAACAAATTAATTTGCATTTGCCCTTCAACCGCTTGTTCCAAAATTTTTCCAAGCAGCTAGTTTTGTGTGTTTTTTTTCCAACTATTGTGCAAGTATCGGATTTATGCGCTAATAGAAAAAAAAATATATTTAAAACTTTTCCTTTCTGCTTGCGATTTGTGTAGTTAGAAGATAGATGAAATAATAAGACATTTGACAGTATTTTAAGATTCTTGTAGATATGGCACATTTCTTTTCAATAAATGTACAAGACCTGTGTTTACATATTTTGAAAATAAACGAATAAAGAATAAATATAACCTGAACTTTCTAATTGCACGTTAAATACCAATTTCCATAAAATAAATGTTAGACGTAAACGAAAATTTCCTGTTGCATTGCATTAACGTGAATGAGCGGTCTGGAATGGAACGAAGAAATCACTCACAGCTGTGACGCACATATGAATTTTTCAAGAAGGGGCATCGAGGGTCGAAAGTCCACTATTCTCGTACCATACCCAAAAACGTCAAATATATTCTTCTGATTTTATCGATTGTCGGGAACAAAAAAACAGTAAAAAATAAATTATTGAATAAATAAATATCATTAATTAATCAAATAAATTATTAACAACAAATATTTCAGAATATATCAGAAAGCACAAGAATTTATGTATTTACTTTTCTCATAATTCAAAAATAAAAACACAAAGCCAATTCATTATTATAGAAGTGCCAAGTCATAGAAGAAGAACAATATCACTTTAATATGTAATTACAAAACTAAAAACATGATGATTACAGTGTTTTCATTTAGAGTCGTCAGTCTGCTTCCATACACTTACAAATAGTCACAGAATAAAATCTAGTTTTCTTGTTTTTTATTTTTTTTTATTTTTTAGTTTTTTAATTTTTATTATTTTTTTTTATTTTTATTTATTTATTTCATTTATAACTTCCTCGGGAGTCATGGTGACGCTGCTTGAATTCAGCAGAGCAAGGCAATGGTCTTGCTCTGCTTGAACGTTCATTGTGTATGGTACTTAAGTATATTTTTGTGTGCAATTCGATATAGGAAGAATACAACTTTAAAATGGACTTTCGTTGCACTGAAAGAATATGGTTGTTACATAATCATTTAGAATCATGCAATACAAGTGATGAAAGAATTTTTAACTTTATTGTCACGTGGGCTTACCAGCGCACGTGGTGAGATGACTCACCATTTGACCTTGTCTCGTTAGTAAAATAGGGAGGCGAAGATATCCAATTCCTTCAAAAATACACTATAGCGTATAACAGGAAGCAAATGAAAAGAGTTCAGTTCTGAGAATAAGAGGATGTTTTATGTTCGTATGAAGTTCGGCTTTGAAAGGGAAGAAAAGGAGAAAAATATTTATTTTTCTCTATTAGAACTGAAAGGATTGTTACCTTTGTATATTACGTACTATATGCATAGGATTATTATCAATTAAAAAAATCGAGGGCGATAGGAGGATGAGGTCCGGGTTGGCGCACGTAAGGAGATCCGTCCCCCCCCCTTGTGTGCACCACTGAACAGAGATATAATCTTTTATACTTGACAAAATAAACGGCGTACCAATAAATGTTCACTAATAAAATTCACTGATTATCAACTAATAAATATGTAATTTAATTAATAGCCCTAAATGTGTAATGTATAATTAAAATAATTTTATCTAGATGTTTTTAAGAAGAAAAATTGATTTAAAATTTTTAATTCAAAGAAACAATTGGAATTACACTGTTAAAAATTCTCTAATATCCAAACCAAAAATTTCTGTATTAGATATACTTTTTTTAAACGTAAGAACAATCTTTTCCGAATTTATATAATGATATTATTAATAAAGAAATATCCATAAGAAGTATTTTAAAATATAGCATTTAAATATACTATTAAATATGAAATAACAAATAAAATTTTTAAGAAGAGATTTGATTGATTTAAACTGCTCATTTTGTTAAGTATGATGTTTTAATTTAAAGATAAATTAAAAGCCTTGTCTTTGGATAACAATACTTTAAAAACACATTTTTCACTACTGTACATGGAAGATAAATTGATGATGTTTATGCTTCTCGCAATGACAACATTTTTCACATCAAGTGGATGAAGTATCATAGTGTAATACAGCATAATAACTCCAAAATTTGGAGAAAAAATACAAACAGCAAATGTGTTTAAAAACGTTATTGTTCTGTGTAGAAGAAATAATACTGAAAACTCTTACCTGTGACAAGCAGTACGCTCTCTATTCGTCTTTCGCCTATGCTATTACGTACAATGCATTGATATTTTCCACCATCAGATGCTTGTACTTTTTTTATATTCAGAGTTCCTTGATTTTCCCATATTCTAGCATCTTCTTCAATGGCTTGTAAGACGCCAGATGTATCTTTCATCCACCTGAAAAAAAAAAAAAAAAAAAAAAAAAAAAAAAAAAAATTAAAAATTTTTTATAAGAATGTAAAACACATTCTATATACTTTTGTGTCATATGAAGAATTCTATCGCTAAAATTGAGAAAATGATAACTATATTTTTCTGCATTTAGTTACCACTCTTTAGTAATTTAATAATAATCTTGAAAGGTTTTGCTTTGCACTGCTCATTATTTACAAGTACATATCCTTTTTATATTTCAGACCGATAAATTTGAACCTAAAATTTTATTCAGAAAACCAACAGGAAGGAAAATAAAAGTTTCGCTACAAATATAAATGAAATAATTCTCTGATGAATGTGAGTCAATGAAACTAGCGGTAAAATTTTTCCTTTTGAGTTTTTCTGAAATTGAATTAATTACGATTCACTTTATATATGCGTATATTTTTAATGTAATCATATTTCAAGTAGTAGTTAAATGTACGGAGCTTCTAAAAGAATTCATTTGATTTCAGTGCACTGTAATTGTAATCCTTGAGTACAATTTCGACTTGTTAATTAATCAAGCATTTCAAAAATATCTTTTACAACTCACTTCTTCTAGTAACCCTAGCAACGCCAAGGCGAACGCCAACCACGGCAAAAAACGATGTCGCATAATATTGTTGCTCTATTCCTTACTTTATTTTTATTACACTCTCTTGGGTGCTTGAATATGTATCTCTAATGTATCTATCCTTTTTATTATATGAGATACAACTGAGTAAATGAAAATTGTGCATGAATATGCTCTTCTAATATTGATAATCGGTTCATGTTACTACACCCCTTACAATAAGTTATTTCGAAGATTTAACCGGTGCTGCTGGACACATACAAGGCAAGCAAAATTTGCTGTCTTTATCTTCATTAATTACAAGGCGGATGTTGTAAATTCCGAAACTAAAATTTAAAACTGCGCATATAATATATAAGCTTTCTAAAACTGCGAAATAAGAATTAGTAATGGCGCAGTCAGGTCTTAAAGTTTCAGTGCAAACAACGAAACTGGATTCTGAAAACTATGCTACTTGGAAATTCAAGATTCAAATGCTTCTAATGCGCGATGGGTTGGATGATATTCATTATTCTCCACCACCTTCTAAACTTGACCATAAATTTTTACAGAGGGATAAGCTATAATGAATCTATGCACTGACGACTCCCAGATTATCCACATTAGAGATAAAACGACTACCGCTGGTACATGGCAAAACTTAAAGTCAGTTCATGAGCGCTCCAATTTGCACACGATGATATGATCACACACGTTACTTAAATGATGGACTTAGTCGAAAGACTGAAAGCTATCGGTGAGAACATTCCAGATCAGCATGTAGCCGCACTTATGTAAGTATCTCGTAGCATGCAGCCACTCAATGTATGTATTTCACATAACTCAACGATTAATGGTATAGTGAATTAAGACAGCTGGAGCATCACCTTCAGCGTCTTTTCGCCCAGTGAGACCAAATGTTGACTTATTAATTATGAATTATTGTGCATCAAAAACTGTGTCTTTCTGCCCGTCTTATCTGATGAATTGCTTTTTTTTTCGGTGTAGAAACTTTTAATTTTAATTGCAAAAATTGAAAAATTGCTTTTTTAACTGTATTTAGTGTTTTAGGTTTTTCTGTGTAGGGTTTATATTTATTTTAACTAACATTTATTTTAAGATTAAGCTATCTTTCCTGTCAAGCCTTTACTTTCCCCTGGAATTGTCAATGCCAAAGTATGTAAATTTTAGTAGAACGCGCAGAGTATTCAAATTTTTAGCAGAAGCAATTGAGTTTAAATAGAAGGGAAGCGAGATTTTAAGTGTGCTTCTTGAATCACGAGCGTGAAGGTTGCTTGGTAGAAAGTTTAAGAACCGCGCGTTTCGGCCTGTGTGCCTACTTCGGCAGTTAGTTGAATCTTTCAATTTCTCAATCAGAAAGTTTGCTGAATCTGAGCTGTACCTTAGAACGCGGTTAATTTAGTCACGATTATAGAGCCTCGTAGGTAGTGACCTCATTATTTATTCATCCTGTTATTTATTTTTAGTTGTACATTTCTATTTTTGTTACACCGCCGAGTCGGCGTAGTTTGTGAGCGTCAAGTGAACGCAACTGTGAGTTCTAAAGTGAAATAAAAAGGGAGTTAAACCCTTCTTAAACGTCTATGTAATTTCCAGTTCATATCAGTCACTACTACTGTTGCTGAAACGTTGGGGCCTCCCAACATCATATTGGCGCCCGAACAATTTACGAACTGAAATAGCCGAAAACTGGATGGAAGCTCCTGTACAACTCCAACAACAAGAAATGGCCAACCAATTAGAAGGATTTCGATACCTGGTCCAGACGATGAGTGCATCGATCAAGCCAAACGTCAATTTCGACGGAAAAAATTCGGTGGCGATACTTTTAGAAGGCCTAGAAAATCATTTCCAGTTATACCTTGTGCCTGAAAGACAAAAAGTTGCCATTGCCATGTCTGCACTAAGAGGACAGGCCTCACTATGGTGGAAGAATATAGGGAAATTTTTATTAGGGGAATTCGGAGGCTAACATATACCTTTGAAAATTTCAAAATATCATTATTAAAGGCCTTCCCCATAGTGAAAGACCGAGCGAAGCTCGAAGCCGAACTGTATAGCTTTTTTCAACGTAATATAGATTTGACGGACTTCATTCTGCGAAACGTTAAGCTGATAAACATGCTGTATGGGAAGAAACCCGATTCAGAGATTATTAAAATAATCTTACCAAGATTGCTACCTGCTATCCAAGATTACGTCGAAATCCGAAACCCAAGCACCTTGCAGGAACTCTTCGAGTTGGCGGTCAAGTTCCAAAATCGCAGAATAGAGGAGAAAGCTAGAGGGGCATCGTATTCTAAAGGTCTCCGAGGGCAATCCTCAAATCAACAGATCGGAAACACAAATCGCTCTTATGGGGAAAGAGCTATCAAGCCAACTCATCGAAGATCGAAGGTCAAGGCCCAAAAAGGAAATTTGAAAAGAACCGTCCGCGTACCCAGAAGACTGAAGTTGAAAGGAAAGCTTTAAACGAGTAGAAGGGCCTGTAAAAGCGAGGGTCCAGACCCCGGAACTTTCGAAAAAACCCTCAAGAAGATACCTAAATACGGTTGTGGTAAATAACTCACAATTACCGATTATACAAGTCCGGGTTGGCGATGTACCAGTAGAAGCCCTCATCGATACAGGGGCAGAAGGTAATTTTATGAGTGATACATTTTTTAAGAACAATTTTAATAGGTTACGATTATTTAAAAAAAAAAAAACAGAAATTATAGCGGCGCAGGCAAAAACCTGTCAATGCATTGGGAAATTATCATTACAAATACAGGTAAAAGATGAAAGCCTCAAAGTATTAATTTTTGTGGTCAAAAATTTGCAGAGTCCAGTCATTTTAGGCATAGAGGATTTAAAGGCCGCGAAGGCCAAACTGAATTTTCAGGAAAATTCGATTATGCTGGAAATGGATCGGAGGGTGGTGGAGCCAGTGAAACAACCGCAAGTAGACCTTAGCCATTTGAATGACCATGAAAGCCAAGCCATCCAGCAAGTGGTGAGTACTTTTTCGAAAAGTTGTTTTCAGAACGGCCTGGTAATCTGTCAAATTGTTACGCATGATATACAATTAACCTGCCGACAAAACCCTGTAGGACTAAACCTTACCGGTATGATAAACAGAAAGAACAAATTATTGAAGAACACATTCAGGAAATGTGAAGAACCAGATAATAACGCCCATAAATAGTGAGTACGCGAGTCCAGTCGTACTATGTAGGAAAAAGAATCTAAAAGAGCGACTTCCCTCCTTCGGATAAAAGGGCTTGGAGGTTTGCTATCGATTACAGAAAGCTTAATAGTGTTACTAAGTTCCCAGGTTTACCCTTTGCCGGTTATAGAGGAAATTATTAGAAAGATTAAGTCTACGAGATACATGACTACGTTGGAATTAACGTCTGGCTACTATCAAATAGCTATGAGACCCGAAGACATACATAAAACCGCGTTTATCACAAAATCGGGCACTTATGCATTTTTAAGCATGCCCTTTGGGTTATGTGGGGCCCCGTCAACATTCCAGAGAGCTATGGACATTATTCTAAAGCCTGTCCTAGGAAAATCGACTTTAATCTATCTAGATGATATAATTATAAAGAGTAGTACGTTGGAACAACACATTAAAGACTTGGAAGGGGTTTTTAAATTATTAAAAGAGCTCGGTCTTACAATTAACGCATCAAGATGCAAGTTCGCGAACTAAAGAACTTAAATATCTGGGTTATAAAATTTCGCAAAAGGGTATAGAAACTCAGGATTCAAAAAATAAAAGCCATCAAGAATTTCCCACCTCCCAACACCGCCAAGAAACTTTCTTCTTTCCTTGGGTTATGTTCTTATTATCGGTCGTTCATAAAAGATTTTGCGAACATTGTTGAACCGTTGTTAGTAATTAAAAGAAAGAAAAGTAAGTTTACGTGGACAGCAGAAGCAAATACTGCATTTGAAAGGTTAAAAGAAGCACTCATCAATGCCCCTGTTTTGAAATTCCCGGAAGGAGACGAAAACCTGGAAATTGCAGCAGATGCGTCGGACTATGCCGTAGGTGCGGTTCTCATGCAAAATGGCCATTCCTTTGGCATTTTTTAGTAAAACTTTAAACTCTACGCAAAGGAATTATACAGCTACAGAGAGAGAAACATTAGCCGTATTAATGGCTGTACACAAATTTCCAGTTTATTTCGGCAAAGCGCCAGTAACAGTCTTTTCGGATCATGCGGCTGTTGGTAGACTTTACTCGGGGAAAAACCTAACGCCCAGGTTAATAAGATGGGCTTTAAAACTTCAAGAATATAACCTAATAATTAAATATAAACCGAGTAAGGAAAACAATGTTGCTGATGCACTATCTCGAATAAACTGGATGAGGAAGGCAATAAACTCAAATGCGCTGTGTTAACTTCAAAAA